GGCCGTTGGTAATAATTTGCTTTCAATGCACAGTACCGTTGCTTACTTAATGCATGTTCTGGCTTGGCTCATTCTGACTCTGCTTAACTGCTGATGAACTGTTGTTTTCTTTATCAAAGTGTTGAGCGCAGTTCTGTTCATCAAGCTTCAGCATACACGTGAGTTAATCTTCTGATTCTGGTATTCTGATAGCAACTTCTGATGCTGATGTCAAGAACCCATATTCTGATGCTGATTAAGTGTGCTCTTGCTGATACCTATCAGAGTTTCTGCAAAGCAGAACGTAATATTTTTAGGTAACAAATAGTTTATACATGAATCATATAAATAATATATCTTTTCATTTTGTTATCATCAAAACTTAAACATAGGGTAGTAGATTCAAACTTTGTTCTAACAGAATGTTGCTGGCCCGATACAAGAATACTACGGGGAAAACTAGCCTACATACTAACGAAAGGATGAATCTCCTGACCAAGTTCATAAATCTACTAGCCAAATGCATGAGTATCGCGGGCACGATCGTAAACCGTATGCCTAAACTTATGAATATCTCGGGGACAACCATGAATCAGGCGCCTAGCGCGCTTAAATTTATCGGGCACTATCCCCAGACACGAGATTCTACCACTAAAATGCCATCAAATCTATCTACAACACGAGATATCAAAAGGAGAAAACACTTACTTGAAGAGAAGGATGAAGAACGACGGTGGTGGAGATGATCAGACGGCTAACGGCGCGGCGGTCTCAGCGACGCTAGGAAAATTCACGAGATTGAAAACATCGAAAATATGAGAAGCGGGAAGAGGTGAAAACAAACTATGGGCCTTGGAACCCTATTTATAGAGATGACGTGGAATATGAAACGTCGTGACGGGGAACCACAAACCACCCCCATCCTCGACGTCTACTCGCATAGACAATGATGGCCCTATTCCCTAGGGCGGCATTATGGTTTCCAAGAGCCGCACCACATGTCTAACTGACGCGTCACCACCTCCCCACAAAAAGTTCCTCGACACTCCTCGATCGCTGCACGAGGAAAATCACAAATCGGGCGATGTCTCTTCTCCCCGGTTGAAACCCCTGCGTCGCGCAAGCGAGTCTCGCGAAAGAGCGAACTTGAATCAAGTCATAACTCCCGTACCAAGAGCAACGACTTGGGGGGCTCCTGTTCTCGACTGGGCCTGCCCGTGGCCCAATCACTAGTGAGGCCCAATCCAAGCTTTACAACGTACCATGCTGAACATTAGATCCTCCGAGCACACCCCGATTATGGGTGACTGGACGAATACGATTGCACCCTCCGGTGCCCGCGAAGAGCGTCCCCGACGAGGGACGTCCCAGACGAGGAACATCCCAATTCGAGCCCTGCTCGAGTACCCTCCTCGTAGGGCAGACTTTCAACCTCTCCGAATGTCTCGTAGTCCTTAGGGTCCCGGGAAGATCACGTCTTTACCCTCCCTATTCTGCGGAGAGCATCATCCAGGTAGGGAACCACGTGCAGGTCCCCACTACTCACGTAGAATCTGGCAGTCCCTTTGTTGGGCCTGTTTGGTCAGCCCAATAAAGGGACTTTGGCCCAGCGCTGAGGACTATAAATATTCTCTATTTCGATAGGGTCATGTATTCATTCATTCACACCTATATACTTACTTGCCTGCTCATTTCATCTCTCACTTTATCATCGGAATGTCTTGCAAGTACCTCCTCCCCCCCCCCCCATTTCCTTCAAATCCAATTCGAAGCCAGCTGTGACGGTCCCATTCTGGTCAGGTACGATCAATTATTTTAAAAAAAACATATAAATCAAATATCACATATATCAAAAAGTAATATATTTTTTTCAATTATTCTATATATAAATAATTTCGAAAATAATTATAAAAAAAACTATTTTCAGTTTATAAATTAACCAAATATCACAAAACAAATATATATACACAAATATACCTACAAATATATCACAAAACAACAATTTTATAATAAAAATCTGAAATTGATGAACAAAATTTCTTTAAGTTTCTTGAAGTTTTCTCCAAAATTTAACTCCCTTTGGATATATCAATTAATACCTGAAAAACAAAAATTATATTACACACTAAATTTGAAAATAAATTAAATACATAACAAAATAATTTAACATATTTATCTGAAAATTATTTATGTGAAGGTTGTGACTGAAACTGTAATGTTATGTTGCTTGAGGGAAGAGAAGAAGTGTTGAAACACTTAAAATTGAAACAAGGAATAAATAACTGAAGCGTTGTAATAGTGTTGAATTTAGCGAGGGGTAGCCCCACGGAAATGAAACTGTCAAAACACGTGTCGGATAGCCCGTCGCTAATTTATGGATTGGAAACAGCCTCTTGCACGCGCAGTCTGCACACTATCATGACCAAATATATTTTTTTCAATTATTCTATATATAAATAATTTCGAAAATAATTATAAAAAAAACTATTTTCAGTTTATAAATTAACCAAATATCACAAAACAAATATATATACACAAATATACCTACAAATATATCACAAAACAACAATTTTATAATAAAAATCTGAAATTGATGAACAAAATTTCTTTAAGTTTCTTGAAGTTTTCTCCAAAATTTAGCTCCCTTTGGATATATCAATTAATACCTGAAAAACAAAAATTATATTACACACTAAATTTGAAAATAAATTAAATACATAACAAAATAATTTAACATATTTATCTGAAAATTATTTATGTGAAGGTTGTGACTGAAACTGTAATGTTATGTTGCTTGAGGGAAGAGAAGAAGTGTTGAAACACTTAAAATTGAAACAAGGAATAAATAACTGAAGCGTTGTAATAGTGTTGAATTTAGCGAGGGGTAGTCCCACGGAAATGAAACTGTCAAAACACGTGTCGGATAGCCCGTCGCTAATTTATGGATTGGAAACAACCTCTTGCACGCGCAGTCTGCACACTATCATGACCAAATATATTTTTTTCAATTATTCTATATATAAATAATTTCGAAAATAATTATAAAAAAAACTATTTTCAGTTTATAAATTAACCAAATATCACAAAACAAATATATATACACAAATATACCTACAAATATATCACAAAACAACAATTTTATAATAAAAATCTGAAATTGATGAACAAAATTTCTTTAAGTTTCTTGAAGTTTTCTCCAAAATTTAGCTCCCTTTGGATATATCAATTAATACCTGAAAAACAAAAATTATATTACACACTAAATTTGAAAATAAATTAAATACATAACAAAATAATTTAACATATTTATCTGAAAATTATTTATGTGAAGGTTGTGACTGAAACTGTAATGTTATGTTGCTTGAGGGAAGAGAAGAAGTGTTGAAACACTTAAAATTGAAACAAGGAATAAATAACTGAAGCGTTGTAATAGTGTTGAATTTAGCGAGGGGTAGCCCCACGGAAATGAAACTGTCAAAACACGTGTCGGATAGCCCGTCGCTAATTTATGGATTGGAAACAGCCTCTTGCACGCGCAGTCTGCACACTATCATGACCAAATATATTTTTTTCAATTATTCTATATATAAATAATTTCGAAAATAATTATAAAAAAACTATTTTCAGTTTATAAATTAACCAAATATCACAAAACAAATATATATACACAAATATACCTACAAATATATCACAAAACAACAATTTTATAATAAAAATCTGAAATTGATGAACAAAATTTCTTTAAGTTTCTTGAAGTTTTCTCCAAAATTTAGCTCCCTTTGGATATATCAATTAATACCTGAAAAACAAAAATTATATTACACACTAAATTTGAAAATAAATTAAATACATAACAAAATAATTTAACATATTTATCTGAAAATTATTTATGTGAAGGTTGTGACTGAAACTGTAATGTTATGTTGCTTGAGGGAAGAGAAGAAGTGTTGAAACACTTAAAATTGAAACAAGGAATAAATAACTGAAGCGTTGTAATAGTGTTGAATTTAGCGAGGGGTAGCCCCACGAAAATGAAACTGTCAAAACACGTGTCGGATAGCCCGTCGCTAATTTATGGATTGGAAACAGCCTCTTGCACGCGCAGTCTGCACACTATCATGACCAAACTAAAGTTGTCTAGCTGGCGTGGGGTAGCCCCTTACTATTGTCACGTTGACATTTAGCTTGGGGTTACCCGTCACAAATTGCCGAGGTTTGCGCGCTCTTTTATTTTCCAAGTAAGGTGCCCCTTGCAATTCAATATTTTAAAATTCAAATTTTTCCTCTTTTAATTTTGCAAGGGATAACCTCACGTAATTTGTTTTTTATTTTTTTTCTTAACCTACACTTTGCGAGGAGCTATACCACAAACAACCTTATTTTTTTTCACAAAAATTTAACACCCGACTAAATCCCCTAACAAATTTCATTTTTTTTATAGTGCTTATTTACCGCTTTTTCCCTATTCAACTTACAATTACAATCCGTTCTTAAAAATTCCAGAGCATACTCTTTAATTGTTTTGTATGCAACCTATATAACCGTTGTTTTGATTTAGTTGATTTTTTTATATAAAATTGATTATATGATATTAAAAAAAGTTAAAAAATTATATTACCATATAAAATGGGTTCCTTTTCTTAATTGATTTTTACCCTAATGTATAAGATTGTGATACTTTTAGCATAACGTAGAAACACTGCCTGGAACCAACAATCTTGCCATGCATTATTATTCCGCATCACATCACTGGACTTACACCAGAAAAACATATACAAAAGATTCAATCAAAGAAACTCCAAATAGGTTAAAATTTAGAAAAGAAAATCAATCAAATAACCCAACATCGACAAACTGCGAGCGAGAAAGAAAATCAATTTTTTAATCCATGGTGAAAACGTGGGGTTTAATGTCTCTCACTCCAAACAAATATATTTACTTTATTCACGCATAATTTTCAAGCTACTAAAAGTTATTACAACCTAACATTAACATTAACTTTTAATTCTTAGTATTCATGTTCATGTTCTTTCATAAAACTTAACCGGCAAGCCACCTCTAAATGTGGCAGTTAGACCCGGTTCGAACCGTGGCTCCTGATTCGGTCCAACAACCCGAACATCAAACCGTTTTACTAAAGCAGCAACAACAGCCTTCATCTCTACAATAGCCAGTTCCTTTCCCAAACAAACTCTCCCACCTGCTTGAAAAACTGGATACTTAAAAGGGCATTTTGGTACAAACACACCTTCTCTCAACCATCTCTCCGGTTTAAATTCCATAAAGTCGGATCCCCAGATATTCTCCATCCGACCCATTGCATATGGATGATAAGTAACCCGACTTCCCTTTTTAACAAAAGTTCCATCAGGTAAGACGTCATCCTCCAAAGCAAACTTTGAATCGAACTGAACCGGTGGAAACAGCCTCATGCTCTCATAAATTGCTCCATTTAGATAATGCATTTCACGCGTCTGTTCAAAAGTAACAACTTCCTGAACCGGGTTCATTATCCGGTCTAACTCAACCCGAATCTTTTTCTCAACATCCGGGTTATTAGACAATAACATAAAAAACCCGGTCAATGCAGAAGCAACCGTATCACGACCCGCCAAAAGAAAACTGACTACAATATCTTTCAAATATTGGTCTTCGTTTGAATTCAAAGAAGCCATAAAACGTGAGAGAAGATCTTTTCGCGAGTCAACTCCAGTTTCAATTTCTCGTTTTTGTTTTATCATCTCTTTCGCCATGTCGTTCACCACTTCAATCGCTTCTTTCAGCTTCTTCTCTGATCCAACATTGAAGAAACGCTTCATCTTCCATATTAACGGTGACGCGTTCATTGCTCTTTCAGCTGAAAGCTTTGATGAGAGATCAAAAGCGTCAGCGAGCTTTGAAACTGGAAGTGGAAGTGATGGAACAAGACAACACGGGTCTAAACCAAATGAGAATTTACAAATATTGTCGAAAGAAAATCTTCTAAGAATATCTTGCATGTCCATAAAACCATCATCCTTTTCACCGGTTTTTGAAGCTACGAGAGGAATAAGCCTTGCTTTGATTTCTTCTGTGACAAGTTCCATAGCGTATGAACGAATAGCTACGCTTCCGAGTTCAAGAGATGCCATTTTGCGTTGAAACTTCCACGAATCACCGTCGACGTTGAAGATGCCACGGCCGAGAAGATCGCCGAGAATTGCGGAAAACTGTTTCCCTTTAGGGTAGTTGTTGAAATTTGTTTTGAGGATGTATTCTACATTTTCTGGATTTGCGGTTATGATGTTATCTAAGACGTGGACATGGATTGTTCCTGTGGGTGAGGTTCGAAGAAGATGAGTGTAGTAGTCGCAGAGGTTTACGAAGTTTTGTGACCAAGTCATAGATAAATAAGCTTTGCAAGTGTTGCAGTTACACCATGGTTTAATTCTAGAGATATAGACGAGAAAAGAAAAGATTGAGAATAGAAAGGTGAAAGAGAAGAAGAGGAGAGTGAAGGTTGATTGAAGAGAAAGAGAATCTTGAGAACTCATTTTGCTGTTTGAGAATATGATGAGAGTAGTAGAAGATTGGTATCACATATATAGTATGTTCGGTTTGTTTGAGAATTGTCAATTATTAATAAATACAGTGGGCCAAGTAAACTAAAATATCGTTTTCATTGAGTACAGTGATTTTGATCTCTTGTTTCTTTTTTTGTATTAGAGAGTTCTATAAAGAGATATTATTACTATCGACAAATCAGAAAAGAAAGAGTGACATAGCAGAAATATGAAAGTTGATCTTTGGACACGCAAAAGCCATAGATAGTAGTCGACAGAAACATGCGATGACACGAGTAAAACAAGGTTGGGATAATGGGACTATTTTGTTTAGGTTACACCCACGTGATGCTATTACTACTTCTAGTTTGTTTTTGGAGCATATGCAGTGGGCCTACACATTTTGTGTGTGTTTCTTTTCGCTGCTCTGTCTTTAGGGTGTCACAAGTGGATTTCTAACAACTTTGTGACATACACTTTCCATTTTCAAACGAGGATATTTTGTCCGATACTCTATAATCATCTTTCTACCGTTAGATATTACCCAATTTGGCCACTATATCTCTAAATAAATTGTACCAAAGGTTTTTATTTTAAGTCGCTCGATTTTATTAATATCTCAGAAGTTTTTCAAGTAAATTCTCTCCTCACTTTTTTAATGTATTATAGTACAATGGACAACTTAAATATAAAATATCCATTCTTTACAGAAAAAAAAAATTATGTATCACAAATCTTATACTAAATACAGTTGAAAATACAGTTGTATAGTTCGGATTAATATTAAGCATTTATACATAAATTTGGGATATTTTTCGTCGACGAGACCACTGCAAAAAAAAAAAGTTTCATTTTTTGTAACAAATAATTTTGTCATCAATTTATCTGTAAGAAAAGAAACATTATCCGGATTCCGGTTGGTGAGGGCTGACCACTTTTGTAATAGTCCTAATCTTAACAATGTTTCTTTTCATAGCTCTCATTTGGTCTTACACTACATTTTGTTGAATTTTTTCTTTCTTTCTTTCTTCTTTTCACTTTTTAAAGATAAATTATTCCTTCATAAAAAGATAGTTTGAATAATTTAAAATTTAAAAGTACTAAAAGAATTCAAATTAAGTTTGAGTTATTATTTTTTATCAGAGAGTTGATAGAAGCATTAAAAAATTAAGTTTAAAGCTTGAATGTGAGCAACACACATACGTAAAATATAAATTAATGTTTAAATGCTATAATTTTATGTAATTTATTTAATATTTTTAAAAATATTATTTAAATTTAAAATATTTTAATTTAATTTTATAAAATTGATATATAATCTGACAACATTCTCACAGAGAGTACAAAAATACTCGTGCAAATGAAAAATTTATAAAATTGATATATAATCTGATATATTTTTGTTCACTTTTATTTTATTTTATTTTTGATAAAAATGAAAAAATGTTATACATAAAAAAACAAGATTGTTAGATCACATTATCAATAAATGATGACATTTGTCTCTATTTTAAATATTTTTTCAGAAAGATATTTCTAAATTCTTGAAACTCTATAATGTGGTTGTGTTTACCGTTGTTTTTGGTAAACAACCGTCGATCTCCAAAAAGGAAAGTTCTTTTTGGTTTACTTACGGGTTCGATCAGATTAATCTCAAAACATATGCTAATTTTTATGTAAGACAGATAAGCAGGAAGAACACACGTTCGACCCAGAGAAAAGATGTTTGAGATTTTGGAAAAGTAGGCAGAAATGTAGAAATGCAGGTAAAGAAGCAACAAAGATAACTTTGCAAGATAATATTAAAGCAATGTAAAAGACTTTCATTAATAAAAAGAGGTGTTTTCAACGTACATTTCTCAGTTTTATCCTTTCTCACACAGCGGTTACTTGGATAACTTTTGAGTGACTAGTACAATAGGTTGAACACACTTTACAAAATACACAGGTTTCCTAATTTATACTAAAAATAAGTAACCGTCGAGGGATCATTCTGCGCTAAGATGAAGACAAGTGTCTTCTGCATGTCCCTCGACCTATGGCTTTCAGCCACGTTGCTTCTTCTTAGCCGCTGGCGAAACTGCCTTTCCCTCTAATAAGTCAAAATTCAAATATCCCTCGTATCATGTGTCAAAGCGAGGATATTTTCTCTCAGTCAAAGGACATAAGTCCTCTTCAGTCGAAAAGACCTGAAAGTGAGCCCTGGTCGAAGGCTCAAATATAACTTAAATCTTTTTCCTAAGTTATTCCATACGTCGAAACGTTCTTCTTGACTTGGTTCATTCCAGTTTTTTGGTCTAAAAGACCAAATACAGTAAGTGTCGAATTTGGGAGCCAACAAATTGCCCCCCAAGAATGTCTATTTCGACGCTCAAAGAAATATCCATTCTTTGATCTTTCCATTCGACACCTGCCTTTCTAGTTGTCCACAAGATTTTGACGTGTGCTTTTCGTCTTCCAACAGCTGCTGCTCTTGAGAAAACCATCATTAATCTTTCCCCAAGATGCCTTTTCTAACTGTCGTTACCACGCTTGCCATGATGACCATATTCCTATAACTTAGGCAAGCATGTCAAAACATTTCCCAACATCTGCACGGTAACCGCTTCACACTTCGCCATGTGCCCCACTATCTGCAAAACATTAAATGGCCTTGACGAGATATATCCCTCTCTGAAGGCTATAAATACTTCTGAGCCTTTCTATTTGGAGCTTTTACCATTTCCAGCATTTCCAAATCTCTTGCTTTCAAACACTTTATACTGTCAACTTCATTTTCTCCCAAATCTTCAACAATGACTTTCCTCTCCAATGCACCAAACAATCCTCAACCTAAAAACGCTGATGATGTCCAAAACCCACCAGAGGTCTTTTCCACTAACCCTTCTCCTTCCTCGATTAACCGGTACGTTGCTGAACCCATGACGAGGGAGTGGCGAGAAGCATATGATTCTCAGCTCCTCATTCCCATTAGGTACAGTGGGGACATGTATGCTATGTCTGGTCCTTTGTCTTCGTGCGTCGAAAATACCTTGAAGAATCGCGCCTTCTTCCCTACTCACCCAAGGCTCAGACCCATAGGTTGCGCGAAGAAGCCTAGGGATGACCCTGAAGATGCTACTCCGGCCAATCAACAACACGCTCAGACTATAGAGGATATTGCTGTACCCCAAAATTTGCCCTCGCATTTTCCCCAAGAAATCACAGCTTCAGGCGCTTCCTGATTTTTCAAACTAGCTCAAGAATCGGTCAAACAGACTTTTCTCGTCAGTCATACAAAATTAGGGTTTTTATTGATTTTCACGGCTCTAGAACAGTTCACATAGTTTGCTTAGGGTTTTGGTTGATTTTGGCTCAACTTTGATCAGGCGAACGTTTCTTTGACATTTGGCCAGGAATTAGGGTTTTTTATGCGCGGTTCCTCAGAAAGGTTTAACTCTACAGTGCTTTTCAAGTTATGCTGAGATGTGGATTGAAACATTTGGATTGAGTTCGCATTGTGTGATTAAATCAGTAAAAGGATACATTTGGATTGAATTTGCAGGGTTTGATTAAAGTCAGTAAAAGGAAAATACGTCTGGGCAGTTGTTGTGACTAACTGTGCATTGATTTGGATTTGTGAAGCGCCGGGCTTATTAGTTGATCAATGCTGAAACAATGTTTATTTAATTATTTATTATTCTAAGATTAAATAGTTGGAATTTATTTTCAATTATTTTAATTTAAAGAATTATAAATAATAAAGTAAACAATTGAAAAGAATAAGAAGAATTAATCAAATAAAAGGATTTTTTATTTATCTTTAAATTATTTGTATAATTGTTTTTGTTTACAAAATGTTTACAATAATAATATTACATTTATTTAAGTTTAAATAAAACTATCCTAATATTTTTCTAAGTCTTCAATTCTTCATCCTCCATCTGTTGCTATTTCTCCCCATTTAATTGTTATCTGCAAAGAGAAGAAAGAAAAGTCAATTGAAGCGGATAAATAATTAAAAGCAGACAATTTGGATTCATCATTAAAGGCAACTGACTGGAATCAGTTAACCCTCTCCGCAAATCACGGGATTTCTCCCGGTTCACAAAGAGGGATGAATATTGCTTGCTAAACATGAATGCACAAGTATTGAAATGCACAAATTCAAATTTTGTCAAAACCAACTGCATAGTTCAAAACCAACAGCATGTATAAAAGTTCAAATTGCCAAAACAAGTTCAATGTCAAACTGTCCAAAATATGGAAGGATGTCAAGATACAAAGGCTCCTCCATACTGTAACAAAGATGCAGGAAAGCTGAAGAAGGAAAGTATGCAGGTTAAGACCATATAGGCAAGCAAACTAATTCCAGTTTCATCATTTTCCAGTGTCACCTTTTCAGAAGAAAGTACATACAACATTATTTAAATATTTTAATCGTACTAGAGAGAGAAAGGAAGAGAGAAAAGAAATGGGCTTACAGGTTTAGGCTTGAGGCATAGGAAAATATAGAAAACAAAAACTGCAATGAAACAGTGAGACATAAGGCAGAAATATGAAGAATTTAGAATGCAAACAAAACTGTCAATGAAAAGTAACAGAAGCATCTTTCCACCCTAAAACCTTAAAAACCATAGCCTAAGAATACCATAAGCTTCAACCTGTACCAGTTAAAAAAACGAAACAAACTGTGTTCAAGCTTAGCAGTCATAACTGATGCAAGCCACAACCAGTAAACTCATCAAACACCAAAAACCTGTCAACCCTGATAAGCCTAAAACCAGTAAACTCATCAAAATCCTGTTAACCTTTCAAGGCCCCAAAAAAAAGCTATCAACCTGTTTCAAGCCTGAATCGTAACCAAGCCACAAGCCCTCAGAAATATTCATCATTGGGCTAAAGAACCAAATCATACAGCATCAAACAAATATTCAAACATATCAACCAACACATCCAAGCAACTCAAGGCAACCAGAAGGAGATAAAGAAGCATACTCAGAAACACACAG